TGGATGAGGATGGCTGGCGCTGAGTCGTGCTGATGTCATCATAGTGGATTGGGGGACACCCCGAGCAGGCGCCGGGCCAGCTGGGCCAGCATGCGCGGTGCATGATGCCAGCGAGCAAGCAGGAGCAGCAGCGGCGGCGGTGGTAGGGGAGGCAGAGGCGCAGGAACAGCAGGTGGAGGCGGTGCGGCGGCAGGTGGTGGAGGCCGGCCTCCTGGAGCTTGTGTGGCAGCGGTTCTGGGCGGGGTGCGTGGTGGTGGGGGTGGGGCAAGGCTGCGCGCTGCTGGGCCGCCAGGCGTCGGCGGGCGAGGCGACGCTGCCAGGCAGCTGCTGCGGCGGCGACGGCCCCGCGGCGCAGCCGCCGCCGGTCCTGCCTTGGTACCTGGTGCGAGCCGGCGGCGGCGCCCAGGGCTGGGCCGCCCTGCATGCAGCTCTGGCGCGGCCCGCCAGCGGGACAGCTGCGGCGGCAGGCCTGCCCAGCGGCCTGGTGGGGGTGGGCGTTCTTGCGGGCGGATGCTGGCTGGTGGACCCCGCCACCGGCCTGGCCGAGATGCTGGCGGCGCCCAGCCGCGACGCGCTGGTGGCGACGGCGGCCTGGACGGCGCGCCCCGACAATGATCCAGCGCTGGCGGGGCTGCAGGAGGCCGATGCAGACTGGGGCTTCTTTTGTGAGCTGGGCGTGCAAGGGCTAGCGCAGGGCTAGCGCAGTGCGGCGCACGCTTGCACTGGTGATGGAGTGCTCACTTGGCTGAATTCTTACGACGATGTGGCGCCAATTTTTATGTCGAGACGCCAACCCCCGGGGGTGCAAGTGGGGTGCAACAGCTCTCGTGGCGAAGTAGAGCAGGAGTGTGCTGTGTGGGCGGCGGCGGGCAGCCCAGGCAATGTGGCGCGCTGGTGCGACGGCCGTGCTTCTGCTTGGTTTGCCGCCGCCAGGCAAATTCAGAGCAACATTAATCGTTAATACCCTTGAGGGAGGTAGAAGGTGGTGTCCCTTCTCCTTCCTGGTTTCATCCAACGTTCACCGCTACTGCACTAGAAGCAAATATAGATACAGCAAATAGAGATACAGGAGAGCTCCTGAATCGCGATGGGGCGCATCGTGTGATCGCGGAGACAAGGTGCTCAGCTGAGGCTTCCGCGGTGCTGAAGGCGTCCAACGGCACGGATGGCGCAGAGGCAGACGCACGCTTGCTTGTGGGCGGCGCGCCCGCACCCCCGCGGCTGTGGCGCCGCCAAAGCAGCACGGCCCGCTGCCCTTCCCCCTCCCGATGCAGGTGCTGCTGCTGCTGGTGTGAAGGCGGAAGGCCTTTGATAGAACCCCCAGGGGCAGCCTACCTTACACTGCAAAGCGGCATGGAGGCATCGGAACAGCGGCGGCAGCCACCGCCAGATGCGGTTCTGCAGGCGACGGACGGCATGGGTCGGGCGGTGTGGCAGCCTCGTCTGAAGATTCGGGAACAAGTTATGCCGCTGGGCATTCACGAGACGCGCCAGGCAGCGGAGGCAGCATTCGATGTTGCGAAAGTTTGGGTGAGCTGTCCCTGGCAAGCCGCCCCGCCGTGCGCATCATGCATGATCCGCGCTGATCGTGCTTTCCTCGACCCATGGCCTCACGTCCGCCTGCGTGTGCACGTGTGCAGCTTGCGCATGTGAACGGCAGGGACGTGGCTGGCTTCAAGCTGTTCCGCCCGCACACCTTCTACACCCAGCAGCAGGGCTGGCAGGACCTGCTGTCCCGGGATTGCACTGTTGAGGAGATGTGCCGCCAGCTCGCCGACGGCCTGGCAGCTTCCTTTGTGCACCCGGGCATCCAGCCGGCGCCACACCTGCCGCACGCGGAGAGCGACGAGCCAGCCACGCAGAGCGGGCCCCAGCAGCCGCAGGCGGCGGCGGAGCCGCGGCGTGGCTGCTGGCGGGAGTGGCCCGCAGGGAGCGGCCAGTTTTGCGCCACGCTTTCGGAGCACGCCGTGTCGCGGGCTGAGGTGGCGCTGCCAGGTGCGGGCCAGATTCCGCTGGAAGCAGCAATTGCCGCTCCCCACACTCCCGACACCTGCTATTGCTGCTTCCATCCTGCGCACCTTCTCCAGCTCCCTCCCTCCCCTCCTGCAGGCTGGGTCTGCGCAGAGGCATGCTGCCTGACCTGCACCCAGGGCCGCATCAAGGTGCTGCCCCCTGCACCCACGGCAGCCTCACAAGGCGGCGGCAGCAGGGCCATGAGCGTGAGCGCGGCGGCCTCCTTATGGCAGGTCAGAGACGAGCACGGGGAGGCCTCCCTGCAGCTGCCCCAGCATTTCCTCCTCGGCAACCAGGTGCGCTCTGCCAGCGCTCTGCTTGGGGCGCTGCCTGCCTCCTGGGGCCTTGAAACAACGGCAGCCCAGCTGCGCAAAGCGCGGCACGCCATCTCAGCGCCAGGGTCCGCTCGGCCTGCCTCGCGCTGCGCTGCGCAGGTGGCAGCGGGCGACGTTCTGGTGGTGCGCCCCGCCGGCGTGGGGCGCGTGACTGCCGAGGTGTGGGGGGCGGCGTCCCAGCAGGCACGTGCCTTGGCGGCGGCTGCCAGCGGGTCTGGTGGAGAGGCTGGCAGTGAGGGGTCACCCCAGCAGGATGAGCAGAATGGGGTGGATGTGGACTTCACTTCATCGGATCAAACTATGGCTTCCGAGGGGTGGGAGGATGAGTGGGATGATGATGATGATGATGAGGAGGAGGAAGAGGGGGAGGAGCTCTCACATGCATGTGTTGCCCGCTGATGTGGCACCCCCCCCGATTCGCTGCCTGCCCGTGGTGCTGCTGGTGCAGGCGAGGCAGGGCGATGTGCTGGCCTTCCGACACAACGGCGCGTGCTGCATCACGGTCTCCCTGTGGCGCTCGGGCTCCCTGGCAGCCCAGCAGTTCTTTGCCCATGCAGCAGCCCAGCCGCCTCCCAGATCCCGCCGACCGGCTGCGCAGCCTGGCAGAGGGAGCAGCGCGCGCGGCGCGGGGAAGCGCCGCCGGGTGGAGGAGGGGAATGCAGGCAGCGAGGGCGGCGTGGCCCAGGAGCAGGGCTGCCTCCCGGTGCGGCAGGAGGGTCCCTCCACGGGTGCCTCCAACAAGTGGCGGGGGCTGGAGCCCTTTGACACAGGCAGCTACTGCCTGCGCTTGCCTCCAGCCCAAGACGGCAGCATCCACATCCCTGGTGAGCCTTGCCCTCACCCTGTGCTCAGCTGCAGCAGTGGCGGCTCGACCCGGCGCCAGTTTTGACACCAGTGCGTCTGCTTTGCCGCCAGATGCAGGCGTGTGCGCCCGGGCTGCATGTCACTGCGCCTGCCTGCCGCTCCCCTGTCGCATGCCTTCAGTGCGGTATGGCGTGGCCATCTTCGGCAGCAAGCCAGACCACCCACAGAGGCCACCCGCAGAGGCCACCCTGACGCTGCTGCCCGCCGGCGTGCAGCACACAGCGCGCCTGACCAGCTACCGCTACCAGCCCAGCTGTGTGTACCTGACGCGGGCGGCAGAGCTAAAGCGCTTGCTGGCAGCGGGGACCGGGGACGAGCTGCGCTTCCGGCCGCTGGGGCTGGGCGCTGCCAGCGTGGAGCTGGTGAGGCCCGCGGCGGCAGCTGGTGCTGCGCAGGAAGGCGGGGGCCGGCGGCAGGAGGAGCAGCAGGAGGAGGAGCAGGAGGAGGAGGAGCAGCAGGAGGAGCAGGAGCAGCAAGGGGCAGAGGCTGCAGCGGCAGCCTCCCTGCCGTGCAGCAGCCCTGGTGCCACCTCCATCGTGCCACCGGCTGGCACCAGCCCGGCCTCGGCCAGTGTGGCGCAGGCGGCGGCGGCGCTGCCGGATGGCGGCGCACTGGAGGGTGATGAGGGAGCCATGCTGGTGGCTGTGTCAGACCTGCTGGGGCGGCTGGAAGGTGAGCAGCAACAGAGCAGCAATGCTGGCTTGGCAAGAAGCCTCAGCTGCATGTCGCCAGGCAGGCCTAAGCTTCTCCCAACGCCAACACCTGCCACCGCCTGAGCTGCAGACGCCGTGCCTGCAGACGTACTGGCCTCCTACCGCGCCCGGCTGGCCCTCCACATGACCAACCAGCAGCGCCTGGCGCACTACAACGTGCTCAAGCAGCACACCAGCCGGGGCGAGCTGCAGCAGGCAGCCGCGTTCGTGCACCAGCACGGCGGCGGCGGCGGCAGCGCGTAGGCAGATTGCTGCACAGCAAATGTTACAGTTGACCAAGTGTCATGAAACAATCCAGCTCGAGAAGGGACTATGAAATAGCAAGTGTTGCGGGTATGGCAACGCCGAGGCTTCTCGGGCCAAAAAAGTGCACAGGGGCAGGGCGGGAGAAGAAGTGTTGCAGGGGACGCACGGGGACATCGCATTATGACCATGATGACATCACATTGGCACACATCACACAAAAGATGGGGAGGAATGGGGGGCTGTACAGACACAACCTGGGGTGCCCGCCCGGCGCACGCAGCGGTCGTGGGGACCGCTGGGGGCGCCGCGGGCGGTGGTGGGAGAGAGGATCTGCATGGATGAATCACAGGGAAGAATGGAGAAGGAAAGAAGAGAGCGCTGGGGGTGGGTGCCGGGCGTTCAACAGGCTCAGAGATACAGCGGCTGCCTCCCCACGCCAGCACAGAGGCGGGGGAGGGGAGTGAACTGGGCAGGGTGCAGAGGGGGAAGGCGGGGCTTCCATGTGGCGTGCCCCCTGGGAGGAGGGCACCAGAGGAGGTGCAGAGAATATCAGGGTGGGGACACGGACGGACGGGTCTATGTGGCTCTCAAAATCAACTCTCACGGGTGCGCTCAATTGGACGGGTGCGGTCTTCTTATTGGCACAGATGCATGCATACAGGCAGGCGGTAGGCGCTGGGCGGGGGCCCGCACGCAGGCCTGCTCGCCCCGGGGAGCATGCGCTCCCCATGCGGGGCGACGGGCGGGCTGTCGGGCAGCAGCATGTGGGGCGAGGGGCGGGCGCGGGCCGCCTCAGGCCAGCTGAGGGCTGCTGCCGCCGGCGCCGCTCAGGCTGCCGGCGCTGCCGCGGCGCCGCGCCAGGCGCAGCAGCTGCTTGCCGCCGGGCGAGGTCGGCGCGGCAGCGGCTGCGGCGCCGCCGTTGGCCGCGGCGCCGCCGGCGGCCGCCGCCGCGGCCGCGCGCTGCTGCGCCGGGTCCAGCACCGGCGCAAAGTAGCGCATGCCGCAGGTGTCGGCGGCGTTGGCCACCAGGCGGCGGAAGGCGGCGCCGCGCGCGGCCAGCACGCCCCCCACCGCCCGCGTGTAGTTGTCTGGGTTGTGGTAGCGCGAGATGGCGCCCAGGTCGCCATAGGCGCCCGGGTCGGCCAGGATGTCCAGCGGGTGGGGCGTGTTCATCAGCTCCCACACAGCCTCGCTGCGACACAGGGGGTTCGCGGGGGTACGGGGCAGGGTGAGCGGAAGGGGCAGAGGCGCACAGCTGGAGCGGCAGCTGCGAGGAGCGTGGCACGCAGGCAGCTGCAGGCGGTGTGCCATAGGGACGGAGCGTAGCGCTGCCAGCAGGGCTGCGGCGGCGAAGCAAAGCACAGCGCGGCGCAGCACGCCCAGCACACGCACCGCGCGTTGGCCACCACGCGTGCGGGCGGCTGCGCCTTGGCCAGGGCGGCGGGCTTCGCGGGGACAGCGGCCAGGGCGGCCGCGGCGGCGGGGGCGTCGCCGCCGGCGGCGGCCGCGGCGGCGGCGGGCAGGTTGCTGATGGCCTGCTGCACCGCCTGGCTCACAAAGCTGGCGTCGCGCTTCAGGGTGGCTGCAGGCGGGGGTGCAGAGGAGTAAGCAGGCGGCAGGTGAGCAGGCGTGCAGGGGCCCCGGCATGGGCAGGCCAGACAGGAGTGTGGCAGCAGCGCCTCCCCAGGCGCCTGCCGCCGCCACACACTAAAGCACCACACGCCGCCGCCAGCAGCGCGCCCACCTGCCACATTGTTGAAAGGCGTGGGCTCTCGCACCACGTACAGCCCCGGCCCGGGCGGCAGCAGCGGGTGGTGGCCCTCGCCCGCCACGTAGCTGGCGGCGTCGTCTGGCTGCAGCACCATGACCTTGCCGATGAAGTCAAACATGACCTGCTCGGGAGGGAGGAAAGTGAAGGGGAGGAAAGGAAAGGGAGGGAACAGGGAGGTGAGGAGGTGGGGCACAGCGGGAGGCGGGGGAGGGTGAGCCGCGACGGCATGAGCTGGCGCCCGGCGGAGCTGCGCCCACCACCACCACAGGCGCGCAGCCGGGCTGCACATGCCCCGCACTGCCGCAGCGCTGCGCCCGCCCACGCACCGTGCGCGAGGAGTTGAGGCAGCGGTGGTCCCTGAACGACTCCGACACGCGCTTCAGCAGGTCTGCCACCAGAGAGTAGTCGCAGGCAAAGGCGCGGGGCACGATGTCGCGAGCCATGAGCACATTCCTGCGGGGTGGGGGTGTGGGGGGAGAGGGGAGGGGAGGGGGGAGGGGTCAAGGCGGGATGGGGGATCAGGCGGGATGGGGAGGAGCGCCACGGACCAAGGAGAGAGGCCGCCGCCACAGCCGCTGGCCGACTGCCGGTGGGCAGCTGGGTCCCGCAAGGCGAGGCAGGCACGCGCGCCCACCTGACGGCGCCCTCTGGCAGCCCCAGCGCCTGCAGCAGGCCGCCGCACTGCGCGCCGGCGCGGTCGCCGCCGGCGTCGTCGGCGGGGGCACAGGCGCAGGCGCCGCCGCCGCGCGCGCCCTCGCAGAACACGGCGGGCGCGCCAAAGGTGTAGACGGGGGAGATGGCGGAGCGGGGCAGCACGCCGCGCCGC